TATATATATATATATATATATATATATATATATATAGTAGTGGGAGCTTTCTATCGATCACTTGTTCTTTTGCAGCACATTCATCAAATAATTATGGATATTCACTAATACGCCGGCGGCCATGGCAGCGGCACTTGAATTCTTGATTTGGCTTATAAACAAAAATGTTGGCAAGTAACCAAATGAAAAAGTTTCAAATTCGATCATTAGCAATGAATATTGAACTAATCTATTCGTTAGACAGAAACCACTAATACTATCTCGAATTCCAAAAATTAAATATATTTTAAACAAATATGACATTGCAAAATCCAAACTAAAGCTCATGTTGTTGTTTTTTTTAATCACAACCAAATTTTGTTTTTGGAACAATTATATATAATAAAAAAAAAAGAGAGTAAAAAGAGAATGTGTATGAGAATTAAATAATTTTTTTTTTAAAAAAAGGAAAGAGAAAGATGAGAGAATGTCATCAAGCCCAAGACATTCCAAAGACACAGTGCATTAATGTCTTCACCTCGGCCTCTTCAGAAACCTATGATGCTTATTCATCCTTCTCCTCTCTCCACTCATTCTCTTTATCATCACTCTCTCACTCATATATACACACACACACACATATGTGTGTGTGTATATATTAGATGGTCCTTCTCTCGTTTATTGGACATAAGTATTATTTAATCAACGTTTTTTTTCAACATATGGCTGTAAAATAAGCATTAAATCCCCCCACGCGACTTTGCTGATATAAAAAAATTTCTGTATTTTTTTATTATTATGAGAATGATATAAACATACCTGAAAAAGCAGAAATATATTTGGTGAATAAAATGTGTCCTAATGGTTAATTTAATCTCATAAAATGCATACAAATAATTTCCACATAGTTGTTATCCTTTTAAGAAACATACAATCCTCACGTCTGGTGAACCCAAAAAAAAAACCCATCATGTATCTTTTTGTACGTATTTTATATCAAGAATTGTCTGAGATTCGTATACATATAATCAATTTACAGACATTGCTAAAATGAGATTATTGGTTTAATTTAAAAGATCGAACAATATGGGACTGTAAAAAGAGATAGCATACAAAATATGGGAATATAGCTCAGAAGATGTAATAAAAACTATAATGCCTTCTTTATTAATTATCATATACACAATCACATATATATATTTAAATATTTCATTAATATACCGCGCCCTCTAACCTTAACTGAAATAAACCAAAGTTTCTCCACATTTCCATTTTAAATGAAAATTTCCAGCTATTACTTGCAATTAATGTGTTGTCTGCTCAATTATATTCTTTTCATTTTATTAACCTTTTGCAAGACTTTCCTACTAAATTTATCACTTCTTTGTTTGATAAAGAAAAAAAAATCTCTTGTTCGCTAACACAAATTATTTGAAATATTTATCTTCTTTTTTTTTGTTTCACCATACATATTCATATCTATTTCAGTTTTAAAATTGTTTTTTATCTGATGAATTTATATATATATTTATTACCTTCCAAATTATTTCGGTGTAATCAAGATATTGTGATCATTCTAAAAAGAAAAAAAAATGTGTATAGAAAGATAAATAACCTAGTAGAATTAAAACATCAGATATTTTTATTACATAAAAAATTTAAAAACTACATTTCAGTTATTTATCTGCAATACTCTTGGAACTTTCCACTTAATTTCTCTTCTCCACATAAATCATTTTCTCATCTTTTTTTTTTTTTTCATTCTCCCCACAAAGCATCCGAACCGTCGTTTCAGCACTCAAATGCAATGTGAAAACATTAGACCTATATGACTAATTAAAGGCAGTGGACTTTTATAACATATACTTAGTAAAACCATCAATTTCGACCGTCTCATGAGATTTACCAATTAAAAATATTAAAAAAATAGAACTACAAAAAAAAAACAATGAACAAAACTAGTTTAATTCTCTTCGTTTTAGTGTATTTACTAATAAATGTGTTAATAAAATACACATATTAATCCAAAAAAAACAAAAAAGAACCTTGTAGTTTAGTCCCCACTCGTCTCTCTCTCCCTCTCCAAACCGACCAGATTAGTCTTTTCAGATTTTTTGTACATTTCCTCCCCACCATATCTCTCTCCATACTCTCTCTCTCTCTATTTAACTTTGCCTTGTTCTCTCTCTCTCTCTTGTTCTTCCTCTTCTATGTTTCTCTCTTTAATTCCCCAGAAATGAAATTCCCTTCTTTGCTCTAAAGGGTATATCTATATATATAACCACAAAAATCTCAGAGAAAGAGCAAAAAATTACTGAAAGAAACGCAGAAAATGTCGCTGGACTTGTCATCTGAGCGTGTTTGCTATGTCAGCTGCAACTTCTGCAATACCATTTTAGCGGTATATACATCTCTCTCCTTAGATTCGATTTATGTCTATTTCTTTTGAAAGAAAAAAAAAGATAATTCCAATCCGATCGGAGAGAACAACATGAACACTTTTTTAATGAAGTCTCAGGGAGAACAACCTGAAAAGGAAATGAAAAGAAGCTAATGAGAAAAATAGGGTTCTTGACTTAATTCCTTATGAAATCATGACTCACCCATCACAGATCAAGGGATCACTTTTGCTGTCACTCCAAATAATTTCTCCAAAATTCAAATTTTTATTGCTCTTTTTCCATATTTTATGGTGAATTTGGATCTGGGTTTTGCTTCCTTTTTGTTTCTTTTTTATTTTTGTCCTTTTAAATCTGGTAATTGTTGAAGATAATGGAAGAAAATAAAGAAAACCCTAATTTTGTTTTCCTTTTTCTTTTATGGGACCTCTTTGCCTTTGCGTTGTTCGAGCTCCCCGAACAAGCAAAATAAGTTTGGTAACAGAACAAATAATTCACTGCTCAAACAAAGTAAACTCGGAGGAAACAGCTTCAGATTTAGGGCATTAGGGCTACATGTAGGTTTAGGTCTAAAATCATGCCCTCCTTTCCCTATATATCTCACATTATGTTTTTCTTTCTTTTTTTGTTGGGCTTATCTCTTTCCTTGTTTTGCAACATCCTCTGAGCAAAGGATTTTTTTTTAATATATTTTATTTATTTGTTGTTAGTATATACTTATTTCTTTAAATTTCATTGCCATTAATATTTCCTTGTAAAACAAATTGCTAGGTAGAGTATTAATATCACGCATAACCATGTGATGCAAGCGATGCCGGTTGACTTCACAATATCTTTCTAACTTTCACAAAATCGTTCTTTCAACCCTTTGTGGTATCCGAGATTTTACCCAAAGTATTTTACGATGTGTTTATATATATATATATATATATATATATATATATATATATGTATGTAGGATGTATATATGTATGCATGTATATTCACGAGCGTGGTCCCTAAACATTGTTTACATTAAATGATAAGCCATAGTTTCAAATTTTCGGTAAACACTGAAAATCATTAATTTGTAAGCAATAATTGTCCCCAAAGAATCAAATCTTCACACGCATATATGTGTACACACACATATATAACATATATGTGGGTATATATTAGCATGTATATGGTGTGATTTTTTTTTTGGGGGGGGGGGGGGG